GGAGGTTAAATTTTTTAGGAAAAAATAACCCTATTTGCACTGTGTAATGTCCACGGTAGCCGGAATATCAAGCGTCCGTAACAGGGAACTGAGTTTATTACTTTCAAGAAAGGCATTTGTGCGCAGCATAGTCAAAATGGTCCGAGCGCTGGCTTTCGAGTCCGCCGTGGGCCATAAAAGGGATGAGGAGTACAAAGGAGAGGCAGCCAGTGCGCGGGCCCACTGAGTCAGTCAGCTCAACACCGACTAAAAAAAAATTATTAGTCGGTGTTGGTCAGCCCCGGGCGCGCGGCGTCAAGTATCGTGGGGGGGGGGGGGGGGGGGGAGGTCAGGTGGAGGGCAGGGCGCATCATCCCTGCAGCTGGCTGGAAGCGGGAATGCACGGTCTAAAGGCCATCCATGCGTTTTTCCGTAGAAGACGCGATGGAGGGGCTTTAGGTTCAACAAGCCAAAATCCCCTGCCATTTTTTTTTTTTACGATGGGCGCCGTTCATTCGGGCATTCCATGAAACTGGCGGGCGACCACTGGTTGTCCTTTGTGGAGTTACCCGCAACACGAGGCGTCTATTTTATGTGGTGTGACCTTTCAAGGTGGTTCTGGCAGAATGGCTGAGATGTGCGTTCGCAGCTCGCAAGAAAACACGATATACTCCGGTACCTGGCCCACCTGGCCAACACCTACTAAAATTCTTCAGGCCTGCGCCTCACGTGACATGACGTCGGCTACGTCATCACTCGCCGTCCGACCGGTCCCGCGGGAGCGCGCCGCTTCTGGCACTCCTCTCGCAGTGAACGAGTTGTATCTCAGCAATATTGTTTTCTCTCGCGTCTCAATGTCTTCAAAGGGTATTGTTAATTATAAGAAACTTGTCAAACGTGCAAACTTCCTGTAGTAAGAGTTAGTTTATTCAACATGTACACACGAAACAAGGGCACGAAGCAATGATCCAAAAACACAAATAAATGAACATACTAATGAAAATTACAAATGATACATGAGCACTTTATTTTGGAGCAACATTTTTCAATTTCCGTGCTTTTGCGACAGCTTTGGCATCGGCTTTAGCAACAGCGGCTGCGTCATTCCTCTCTTTGCAATAATTATTTAGCAGAACATTTGTCGCACATTTTATCAACATATTTATCACCAAATCTGGTTCGTGCCCATTCGCACAAGTCACCAGTTCCTCAAATGCTGGCAAGCTCTCCTTCACAAGCTGTTGAACAATGCATCTGTGATTTCGTGCCTGCAGAAAGCACCCGGCATTTTTTTCATTCTGCAGCAACTTTGCAAGAACAACTTCAGTGTGCATCACTACTGTCACAACACACGCGTTCGGAAATTTCAAGCCACCTCGATTGAGACTTGCTATTAAAGAATTAGCATCACCATCGCACTCAGCATCGCAACTGTCAGCAACAAGGTTCTCTTGACAGTAGTTGCACTTCAACGTTTTTACCACAGAGTTAGTGCAAAAGCCTCCAACATAAGCAAAAACAGCGACGCGTGTGCTTAAGCTGTCAAGGTCTTCAGGTTTGACAGTAACTCTGAAGTCCTGTTGATTTGTGGCTGTTGCCGATGGAATAGCCTCATCAATGAAATCGTCACTGCTCATTATAGGAAGAGTATTTTGTAGGCGAATCCTGCCTTCACTCTCGTACAGCTGCCTAATGCTGATGTGGTAATGACCACCAGCCATTTGCCTGTACTGGCCAAATCGGTTTTCGAGGCCGTCTGTCTGCAGCTTGCCGAGCAGGACATATTTATAACGAAGCTCGACAAGGCAGTACTTGGTGAATTCAAGTATTGCATAGGCGGAATGCCTTAGAGCAGATTGAGTTTCTCGCGTGAGAACGCCGTTGTCGTGTTTGTAGGATTCCCACACATCCAACCAAGTGACAAACGCATCGAGAAATTCCAGCTTAGGGTCACCATTCAGGCACGAAACTGGCTCTTCATAAACATCTCTGTGGTGATGGCCTTTGTGAGGTGTTTTAACGTTTACAATCTTCCACCAGCGGAGAACTATCCTGATGAAATTGGCAGTTTCTTTGGCATGCCATAACGCATGAAAGTTCCAGTGGTGATCCAGTGCCTCAGCTACAAAAGCATTGAATATTTGTAGTACTAGCTTAACATTTTGCCTTTCGAAGTTGCTAGGATTTAGCGCCTTTGACGAAAGGCGATAGCTGTACTTCAAAAGCTGAGAAGCCTCTAGCTTGTGCAGCTCCCGAAGATCTTTGAATGATGCCCGCTGTATGCAGTCGGGATGGACACTGTTGTTTGAGAGATCAAACATAGGAAAATATAGGTTTGTCCCAAGATTCTTTTGATTTATCCAGATGTTTCGAATGCATTTCAACAAGTGCACAGAATCCACAACATAAAACATGGGTCTTGTTGCGTCTTTTGGATTTGGGTAAACGATGCTCGGCTTTGGCGGATCTGAAAACATACTAAGTGCTTTGCGATTGATTGCGTTGTTGTCTGAAACTACTGCAAGAACTTTAAAACCAATTTCCTCAAGGCCAATGATTACATTTTTCAGGACAGCATGAAGAGAGTGAGCATTCATTGTTCGTGCAGGCAGAATGTGCACCACCTCGCGAAAAGAACTCAGCATGCTTTGCACCATAAACACATGAGCAGAAGTAGCGGCCTCTTCACTGTTTCCTGCTGCCCCTGAAATTTTTCCACCTTTAAAATCGAAGAAAGGCTGGATGTGAATTTCGTCAACCATGAGAACCACGGCACTTTCATGCGGCTGCAATTGTTTAAATCTGTGTACCTGAGAAAATTTTCACTGGCTGACTCAGTGTCAGGTGACAAGTGAAACGAGGAGCAGACATTTCGACAAGTACTGGGATGTGGCATGGCAAAAAAACCTGAACCCCTGAGAAATTTGTAGGCGTGTGGAGATATGGTATGCAATATGCAAGCAACCACCATACTTTCGGAGGAATACTCCAATCGCTGTTTTCCAAGCAACGCCACCTGTTCTCGCAAGAAGCGACTGATACGTTTCTTGCTGTCAATGGCATCTCGTTCAAGTTGCTCAAGAAGGCTAACGACTACGTCACAAAGACCTTCTGAGGAGCATTTTTCATCGAGGATGCTTTGAAGCCTACTCAGGATGGCAGACAGGACATTCACATTCCCAATGCTTCCTGGCACGACATAATCACCTATACGGCTTAATTTGGTACCATGAAAACATACACTGATACTCAGGTCGCTGAAAACAGTAACAGACGACCGCAACATCGGCATGCTCTCATCAACAATATTTAAAAACAGGGCACAGTTTGTGCGGTGAATTACAATCCACTCATTTGGCACAGGTGCACTTTTCAAACATTCCATAAGCTCAAAAAGCGAGGAAAAACAGCATTTCGTTTCTTCATCACGATAAGAAGCCTCCGATTCTGCGATGGCACGAGCGAGGTCAGCCGCTTCTCGGCGCATTTTTTTCGTTTCCGGGCATTCTCTCGGAGAAGGGTCATCCTTCGACAAGTACGAAGGACATCCTGGGAACAGTGTGGGCACTGATCCTGAACGCAGGCGTGGTACTTTCAGTGAGACCTCTAGCACTCTTCCTGTCATAGGATCCGTGTAGGACGACTTGTTCTGAAGGCATGACTCGGTGAAATGCAATGCGCATACCTGCATACCAATGGCAGTCGCAGAGTGTCAGCGAACCTCGGAATGCGTCTAAACATTGCACAAGCACTTCGCGAACAGTTACAATGAGTATAATTTCACCATCAGTGTGATGCAATGGTGACATCCAGTTTGCTCTTACCTTGTTGTTTTCCGTAGGGAAGAAATCCTTTCTTGGGATAGCACTGAGCCACTTCTTCCTTAGCACTTCATCCTTGGGGAATGAAAATACTTGAACTTTCTTCCCGGTCTTGTAATTACTTGAACATGCCGGCACACAACACTTATTGGGCATGTCAGAAGCTTCGTGCAATAAAATTCCGGCAGTAAAATTCACTGCACACAACGCAAAGAAAATGGCTCGGCAGACTCGCGAAAAAAACACGTGCAGCACGGCCGTCACCACTGCAGCAAGTGGAAATTCGGGAATGCGCGACGGAACCGGTCAGGAGGTATTGGACTCGTAGGACGGCTGGTGGTGACGTCACGGCGGAGGGGGCAGGCCTGAAGAATTTTTAGGAGGTGTTGGTACAGCGCCTTGATGGAGGGCAGAGTTCAAAACTTCAATAATGAGAACTTCAACGCTTTTAACAAGAAAGAAATGGAGTTCAACTGTCATCGTGGTTGTATCGAATTGGGATCACGAGTTGTCTTCATGGCCCACTTCGACAACGAGCAATGGCTCTCATTCTTGCCGGACACCGAGGCGTGATCACAATGAAGTGCGCCCGCAGCTACATGTGGTGGCCGGGAATCGGCAAGGGCACCGAGATAGCTGCAGAGTGTACAGCCCGCCACTTAAATGAACACGCTCCGACGCGAGCTCCAGCACTGGACTGGGGCAGACTGAGCACACCTTGGCACACATTCTTGGTAATTCCGGATGCCTAGAGTAAATGGGTTGAAATTCACCAAGTGAACAAAACAACATCGACAAATGCCATCAAATGCCTGCGCTTGTTGTTCGAAACTTTCCAATTACCCCACAAGGTGGTTTCAAACAACGGAATCGCATTCGTGTCAGCCAAAATACAGAAATCCTACGAGTGACAACTGCATCACAGTGGTGAAATCTGGTTTGAACCACCCAGCCACAAACGGACAGGCCAAACGCTACGTGGTAGAGCTAAAACGTGCCCTTGCAAGTACGGGGTCATTACAGCGGCGCATTGCACGCTTTCTTTTTCAAGCAACTTGCAACGAGCCAGGTCAACACCTCCTAAAAATTCTTCAGGCCTGCCCCCTCCGCCGTGACGTCACCACCAGCCGTCCTACGAGTCCAATACCTCCTGACCGGTTCCGTCGCGCATTCCCGAATTTCCACTTGCTGCAGTGGTGACGGCCGTGCTGCACGTGTTTTTTTCGCGAGTCTGCCGAGCCATTTTCTTTGCGTTGTGTGCAGTGAATTTTACTGCCGGAATTTTATTGCACGAAGCTTCTGACATGCCCAATAAGTGTTGTGTGCCGGCATGTTCAAGTAATTACAAGACCGGGAAGAAAGTTCAAGTATTTTCATTCCCCAAGGATGAAGTGCTAAGGAAGAAGTGGCTCAGTGCTATCCCAAGAAAGGATTTCTTCCCTACGGAAAACAACAAGGTAAGAGCAAACTGGATGTCACCATTGCATCACACTGATGGTGAAATTATACTCATTGTAACTGTTCGCGAAGTGCTTGTGCAATGTTTAGACGCATTCCGAGGTTCGCTGACACTCTGCGACTGCCATTGGTATGCAGGTATGCGCATTGCATTTCACCGAGTCATGCCTTCAGAACAAGTCGTCCTACACGGATCCTATGACAGGAAGAGTGCTAGAGGTCTCACTGAAAGTACCACGCCTGCGTTCAGGATCAGTGCCCACACTGTTCCCAGGATGTCCTTCGTACTTGTCGAAGGATGACCCTTCTCCGAGAGAATGCCCGGAAACGAAAAAAATGCGCCGAGAAGCGGCTGACCTCGCTCGTGCCATCGCAGAATCGGAGGCTTCTTATCGTGATGAAGAAACGAAATGCTGTTTTTCCTCGCTTTTTGAGCTTATGGAATGTTTGAAAAGTGCACCTGTGCCAAATGAGTGGATTGTAATTCACCGCACAAACTGTGCCCTGTTTTTAAATATTGTTGATGAGAGCATGCCGATGTTGCGGTCGTCTGTTACTGTTTTCAGCGACCTGAGTATCAGTGTATGTTTTCATGGTACCAAATTAAGCCGTATAGGTGATTATGTCGTGCCAGGAAGCATTGGGAATGTGAATGTCCTGTCTGCCATCCTGAGTAGGCTTCAAAGCATCCTCGATGAAAAATGCTCCTCAGAAGGTCTTTGTGACGTAGTCGTTAGCCTTCTTGAGCAACTTGAACGAGATGCCATTGACAGCAAGAAACGTATCAGTCGCTTCTTGCGAGAACAGGTGGCGTTGCTTGGAAAACAGCGATTGGAGTATTCCTCCGAAAGTATGGTGGTTGCTTGCATATTGCATACCATATCTCCACACGCCTACAAATTTCTCAGGGGTTCAGGTTTTTTTGCCATGCCACATCCCAGTACTTGTCGAAATGTCTGCTCCTCGTTTCACTTGTCACCTGACACTGAGTCAGCCAGTGAAAATTTTCTCAGGTACATAAACACAGATTTAAACAATTGCAGCCGCATGAAAGTGCCGTGGTTCTCATGGTTGACGAAATTCACATCCAGCCTTTCTTCGATTTTAAAGGTGGAAAAATTTCAGGGGCAGCAGGAAACAGTGAAGAGGCCGCTACTTCTGCTCATGTGTTTATGGTGCAAAGCATGCTGAGTTCTTTTCGCGAGGTGGTGCACATTCTGCCTGCACGAACAATGAATGCTCACTCTCTTCATGCTGTCCTGAAAAATGTAATCATTGGCCTTGAGGAAATTGGTTTTAAAGTTCTTGCAGTAGTTTCAGACAACAACGCAATCAATCGCAAAGCACTTAGTATGTTTTCAGATCCGCCAAAGCCGAGCATCGTTTACCCAAATCCAAAAGACGCAACAAGACCCATGTTTTATGTTGTGGATTCTGTGCACTTGTTGAAATGCATTCGAAACATCTGGATAAATCAAAAGAATCTTGGGACAAACCTATATTTTCCTATGTTTGATCTCTCAAACAACAGTGTCCATCCCGACTGCATACAGCGGGCATCATTCAAAGATCTTCGGGAGCTGCACAAGCTAGAGGCTTCTCAGCTTTTGAAGTACAGCTATCGCCTTTCGTCAAAGGCGCTAAATCCTAGCAACTTCGAAAGGCAAAATGTTAAGCTAGTACTACAAATATTCAATGCTTTTGTAGCTGAGGCACTGGATCACCACTGGAACTTTCATGCGTTATGGCATGCCAAAGAAACTGCCAATTTCATCAGGATAGTTCTCCGCTGGTGGAAGATTGTAAACGTTAAAACACCTCACAAAGGCCATCACCACAGAGATGTTTATGAAGAGCCAGTTTCGTGCCTGAATGGTGACCCTAAGCTGGAATTTCTCGATGCGTTTGTCACTTGGTTGGATGTGTGGGAATCCTACAAACACGACAACGGCGTTCTCACGCGAGAAACTCAATCTGCTCTAAGGCATTCCGCCTATGCAATACTTGAATTCACCAAGTACTGCCTTGTCGAGCTTCGTTATAAATATGTCCTGCTCGGCAAGCTGCAGACAGACGGCCTCGAAAACCGATTTGGCCAGTACAGGCAAATGGCTGGTGGTCATTACCACATCAGCATTAGGCAGCTGTACGAGAGTGAAGGCAGGATTCGCCTACAAAATACTCTTCCTATAATGAGCAGTGACGATTTCATTGATGAGGCTATTCCATCGGCAACAGCCACAAATCAACAGGACTTCAGAGTTACTGTCAAACCTGAAGACCTTGACAGCTTAAGCACACGCGTCGCTGTTTTTGCTTATGTTGGAGGCTTTTGCACTAACTCTGTGGTAAAAACGTTGAAGTGCAACTACTGTCAAGAGAACCTTGTTGCTGACAGTTGCGATGCTGAGTGCGATGGTGATGCTAATTCTTTAATAGCAAGTCTCAATCGAGGTGGCTTGAAATTTCCGAACGCGTGTGTTGTGACAGTAGTGATGCACACTGAAGTTGTTCTTGCAAAGTTGCTGCAGAATGAAAAAAATGCCGGGTGCTTTCTGCAGGCACGAAATCACAGATGCATTGTTCAACAGCTTGTGAAGGAGAGCTTGCCAGCATTTGAGGAACTGGTGACTTGTGCGAATGGGCACGAACCAGATTTGGTGATAAATATGTTGATAAAATGTGCGACAAATGTTCTGCTAAATAATTATTGCAAAGAGAGGAATGACGCAGCCGCTGTTGCTAAAGCCGATGCCAAAGCTGTCGCAAAAGCACGGAAATTGAAAAATGTTGCTCCAAAATAAAGTGCTCATGTATCATTTGTAATTTTCATTAGTATGTTCATTTATTTGTGTTTTTGATCATTGCTTCGTGCCCTTGTTTCGTGTGTACATGTTGAATAAACTAACTCTTACTACAGGAAGTTTGCACGTTTGACAAGTTTCTTATAATTAACAATACCCTTTGAAGACATTGAGACGCGAGAGAAAACAATATTGCTGAGATACAACTCGTTCACTGCGAGAGGAGTGCCAGAAGCGGCGCGCTCCCGCGGGACCGGTCGGACGGCGAGTGATGACGTAGCCGACGTCATGTCAAGTGAGGCGCAGGCCTGAAGAATTTTAGGAGGTGTTGCTTGGGCACCCCTTCTTGGTACCTGGTAAAACGCGTTCCTCGCTCACTATTGACGGGGGACTAGCTGGAGGGGAAAGGCGCGTCGCGTTCGCACAATGTTCACTGATAGGCGCGTGGCTAATTTACTTATACGTACGTGGCTTTGGAAGTCTTCCTAGTTAGGAAGCACATGGTGGCAGCCACCGGCTGTGTGTGAGAGAGGGTCGGGAGAGGAGGCAGTTGTCGTTACTTAGGTAAAAGAGAAAAATTTAGTGGACTTTAGTCCCGAGAAGCTCTTGCTTTCTGTTCTCGCAGATGTCTTGTAGTGTGCGAGAAGTGCACACAAGGCCAACACGACGAGTGGTCGGCGTTCCTTTGTCGTGAAAAGTACTCTGGGTCGACTCACCCCTCGAAATCCAGACCTGCCTGGCGCATTTGTGGGATACGTCTTTCTAGCGCATTACCCCCGTTTACATGGTCGTGATGCGCCAGTTGTCGTGCCGGCTTACGGCAAACTGTCGACGCCCGGCTATACGCAAACGTGCTTTCTTATCGAGGAAAGAGGAACTGGACCCCACTCCCAACAACCGTGGAGACGGCGTGCCGGCCTCTTGTTGAATGAAGTTAGTCGCCCCAGCTGGCAGCCAACTGACTGGCAGTTGCTTCGAGCTGTCAGGCTGTAATCAATTTTACACGAATGCCAGAGTAGCCCATCGACTTTGCAAGCGCGTTTCGGAAAGGTGATGCGACGCCGTTTGCAGGACCTCTCGTCTTCTGTACGCCGCAGCTACCATGTGGTGTCTGATTACAGCGAGCGAGTATCAGATTACAGCGACTTGTAGCTGGGCGAGTTGGTTTATGTAAAAGAACTAAAAAAAATAACTCATTAGCTTAGTCGTGCCTCGAGCACGGGAAACAGAAATTCGCACAATTTTCTGCGTCATCAACCACTATATAAATAGGTACATATTAGCGCGAGCAAAATAACAATGACTTGAGAAAGGAGTGGCAGGAGGCAGGAATATCTCAGCTCCCGACATTTCTGCTTCGTCCCACTTCTTTCTCGAACGTACGTTTTTTGTTTTCTTGAGCTAATATTAATAAATTCCTTATAGCGAAAGAGGGACGCACGAAGTTCGCACAACGGGGGGCCACCATTCCCCTCATCGTGATTTACGGCCCGTGAATCGACCGGCACTCGCAAAACTGCCCATTTCCTACGCATTAGTGCAATGCGCCTTCCATTGCTTACATGAATGCGAAGCGCATGTTTCGCACTCATGTAAACGTGTTTTATGCACACCGATGTCACCACACTTTCTTATAAACTTATCCCTTTCAGAAACGTTTCTGTTCTTTTCGAGCTACTAGGCGTAAGTCCAAGATCGGCTATTTCTACTCGTCAGCCTTATGACTCACGCTAACGAGTCAAGGAGCTGCTATCTTGACGCATTGACAGTTCTCCGCACAGCAGACTTCCTAATGACGAATTGTCAGCAGGTGCCGCATGTCCTTGACATTTTTCTCTATTCTTTTCTCCCCTTCCCCCTCCCCGTGTAGGGTATCATATAAGCCTTTCCTTTGCCTTTCTCTCTCTCTCTCTCTCCTTCAGGCGAAAGCGTCGGCAGGGTGCCTTGTCGCATGGTGTTGTACACTGGCACCGAAGAAAACCTACAAGTTTTCAGTGCATAGGAAATGTAGATGGGCTTCACCACTGCCGCTCCCCCACCAGACCTGCTCAGTGGGAGCATAGTCAAAAGTTATCCGCCTTTCTGCCTCCCTGAAGGACCTCACTTGTCGCGGGTGCTTCAAAGCAGAAAAAAAACAAGAGCCCTGGTGCCTCATTGCTGTCCCCGCACCGAAGTACTTTCTTACACCACGCCGTGCATTCAGCAAATTTCATGCCACTTCGCTTCGTTGTTACTGGCTGAAAAATCTGCAAGATTTTCAGGCAGTAGCATGATTTTAGCCAGTTTATACAGTGAGCAACGGAATAAATATTGCTCGGTTTTGTGGTTTATTGAAACCGATGACGGATATTCACAGCTGACTTCGAGAGAAGAGATTGCAAGCGCCCGCGTCCCCTTAGAGCGAGTTTGCAGTGATTATGAGGAACGCCGTCATGGGGTACTCCAGAACATTGGTGTTCGCGCATTTCGGCGCTATGGAAATGTGCGCTTGTCGTATATAAAGGCGGAAAGCGAACACGCGTCCTCAACTCTTGCCGCACCGTAGTTTTCCCCAAAGTAAATAAATGAAATAAACACGCAGAAAGTACAAAACAGACTTCATCTCATTCCTGTAGGTGTACCTCGTTTCGTGTTTGTGCTGTTTGTTGTGATGGGTTCATACGAACAAGCGCAGCACGTCTGAAGCTCCGTATATTTCACGGTAAAAAAAAAAAAGATATTCACAAATACCTTACTCACGCACGTCTGCTCAGTTCGCTCGTATCGCTCGTTTGTCGTTCGTTTTTCTGCTTTCTTCTGACTGTCGTCGCACAGCCCTCGCTTTTCGCTTTAGTCCGTGGGGGGTGAGGAGGGCGACAAAGACGTGCACACATAAAAGAGGGACTTTCCATGAATTCGGCCTTTCTTTTCCCGTGAAGACGCTCACCCCACCCTCTCGGAGGATACTGCCGACCTGTTTTCACGCTCTCCCGCGGTACCGCGCAGCCTTATGAGACTCTGAGGGGAGGAAGGCTTACAGATGACGGTGCATGGTTTGAAGTTAGAAAAGACGTTTCCTCCTGAGGCAAAATGTTTTTGCACGCCGCATTCAGGGAGACAGGGAACCTTTAAATTCAGCGCTTTCCTTATTTTTGTTTAGGTGGCGCTAGGGGAAGATTTTCGTTGTAGTGATAGGAATAATGTAGATTTCTCAATATTCCTGCAGCTGTTGTGTGCGATTCGTGTGCATAAGTATACCAGGAGACCGTAAATGTTATAGTTTAGGCTATGCATGCTTAGATTTCATTGCTATTTCAAGATAACAACGACTTTGTTGATGTTTACGGCACGATAAATTAAGACAATTCGCGAGCTTTGTTTCGCATTTCTGCTTACTTTATTGAAAAACGCTACGTTGAGGAAATAGATCAGGGGTTCTAGTTTATCTACGTGCAAATTCAGCAAACGAACTTCAGTAGTTCTCCGCAAAAATGGGCCACGGTAGGTCTATCTAATGAGAATATTGCCCAATTTAGATCAATATAATTAAAAAGTGAGCGGGCGTACATAAATAAAATTGAGCACTCAAACGGAAAATGACATCCTCTATATACACCCAGAAAATGAATTTTCTCTAGCGAATAGGTGCCGGATAGTTCGCATCGACATTTACTAAATTTGGCTCTTTTCAAAAGCTAATCAGCAATACAGTAAAAGTGCTAGAATAATTTGCTACGTTGAGGAAATAGATAAATATGTCTTAAATGTTCTGCGCAAAGAACAGTGCTGTAACTGCAGCAGATTTTTCAGAAAATGGTCACTGCTGACACACAGTCAGACCAAACCATGTAACTAGCGCTTATTCTTGGCTCTCCCTACCCAAATGCTAAAAGCTTACTTATTTTTAATAGATATGTTTAAAATGTACAAAAATTAAGCTTTTCAATGACACATAAACCAACTATATAAGACAAGAAGAACAGCCGCCACGTCAGTTGGAAAAGTGACAAAAACGATGTGCTCGTGCCGCCGGAGTGAGACCGCCGCCTTAAGTGGGGAAGCACGAGCTGATGCACGTAATTGTATACAGTGTTATCAGGCAAACCCGTATTTGGAAACTTCGTCTGTAGTATTAAGCCTAGAATTAATGGGAAACGCTACATTAATTGCGTTTAGGGTGTCGGCCAATAGATAGCTCGCCTGCGACATCATGAATTCAGCTTCGGAATGCACTGCCACTCCACGATTGAGCTTGATAACGAACGAGTGGCGTCACTGCGAAAAAGGTGTGGCCGGAACGTCTGCATGTCCAACGAAGAATGTATGAGATGTTTTGATGGTATTGAAAGGGTCGGAAAACGAACATGAAACTGCTCAGCAGTACATTACCCTGTTTCAATAGAGATGAGACATACATATCCCAAAGTATCTCTATATTTAATCATGCCCTTTTGAATATCTCGAGCTCCTAAACGACCACGGGGCCTTGCCTACCACCATAGGCAATTAACGTGCGACGTCAGTCAAACGTCATGGCAAGAAAAGTTAACACAATGGTAGCTTCCGTTTGCTTCAAAATGACAGATTTCTTAGGAAGCTATGACATAGCCATTTTATAGGAAGCTAGGACATAGCCAAAAAATAACAGCAATTCTCGTGCTCTCAGCTGTGCTTACCATAGAAGTACAGCAAGTAATCTGCTTATTTCTGCTTTCAAGCACATCTGCGCTCTGTCACGTGTTGTCTTCACTCGCTTGGTGCGGCATCTAAGTTTTTTTCTTGCTGGTTTCGCTGGATTGCGTCCTGCAGCGTGTTCTGGGTAGCTTTGTCCTCACTGTGCATTCCGCATGCGTCACCATACGGTGCCACACACCTTATCAAAGTGGAAACAACGTTTGTGACTACTTTGTGGTGCTGCCATCGAGACGATGTGATGCCAGGAAGCTCTGTCAGCAAACGTAACTGGGTCGCCATGTTTTGTCGATGACAGAAGCTTCTCATTGGCTGCCCTAAAGCAACGTCGGCTCTGCACTGGAGGAGAACACGAGCTGGGAATCGAATGTAACGACTAAATGAACTTATGGAGGTATTGTTGTGAATAAACGGCCATGAATCTGAATACACATGTAGTTAAGGCTATTCAAAAAACGTTTTATAACCCCTTTTATGCGAAATGGCAGATGATGTGTCTTCACATAATCGTGTCTCAACAAGGTGGTTTCAGTGACATCAAAGCATGCCATGTATAAGGGCAGCCTGTTAACTCCTCAATAATTGTCTTTGCCGAAGCCATGAATTAATACTTTGTGCCTAGCTTACGGCTGCGCTGACAGTAGTCTGAATTCCGCGGCTACTAAGACGACAGCCTTAAGCCCCTTGTGACGCGTGAGGTTTGCCTTGAAAAATGTTGTGCGCAGTATGAACATTTCCATGACCTTGGTGAGGTTAATAAAAGAAATAATAATAAATTTAAAAAAGTGGAGCGCAAGCCAAAATCGAACCCGGGCACTCGAGCATTCTGCTACAGAGCCACGTCAGTGTTTAAAAAGCGCTGCAAGATCCTAGAGAGTATTCATTGAGCTTAGCTACAAGGTGTGGCCAGTGAGTGCCCACATGTGGCCAAAATAGCCGTCGCTCAGTGATCTGACACATGACACTTTGATGTCTTGTTAAATGATGAGGAAACAAAAATCCACAACGATATACTCGGGCCAAGCACCTTGGTCGGGGTATTAAGATGACGACTGCACGTGACCACAATTCCGGTGGCTGTGGCACTAGTGCTTCTTGTGGATGACTTATACAAGTAGTCTTGTTAAAAGATGTAATCTCATGTGGCACAATTGCACCTGGCGTCAGGCTACATGAATTTAGTTGGATCCTGACACCATGTAGCCGAGATTCTATCCTGGGACCCAGCCGCTGAATGCCTTAGCCACTATACCACTGTCAGGGGACCAACACAATATTGTGACGTGAGCTTGTTTACACTCTGGTCGCGTTGGTGTTGTCGCAATGGGCTCCACACAAGCAGCCATGTGGCGCACACTTTAAAATTGATTTTGAACATATTCTAGGCTATATTTGCCTTTATTATTTCGTAGATGTTGTGTCTCGAGATAAATAGATCTCGCTCATTATCTCGCCTTCAAAATTTTCTGTCGGGGCTCCTCCAAGTGCGTTGTAGTAATAGTGTGTGTGTGTGTGTGTGTGTGTGCGTGTGTGTGCGTGCGTGCGTGCGTGCGTATATAAAAGGCAATAAAAGTAACAGAACTTGCATCCGGCAGAAACTGGACCAGCAACTTTGACTGGATCTGCCATATTTCAATACAAAAGTTGGAGGTTAAGCCTCTGCATGTAAGTTGAGTTTTTTTTAATCACTTTGAATTCTTCACACCTATAACTTGCCACTTTTGGATGCCAAGGTTGCAGTTTATTGGAGAATATTGAGAAACATGTGTTCATTTCGTTCGGAAATCACAGCCGAGCGATTCTAACTCATTCCCCAAAACGAATTTATATCATTCCCCAAAACGAATTTATGATATTACTGTTATAATACTACTGCTTGCTAAATTTCATTAACGTATTCATATTGTTGACAAAAATAGAGAACCAGGTGCCAAGATGCTGCTGTTAACTACCTAATGGTGTGCTTCATCTGGGAAACTAACTGTTCCAGGTGAGGTGGTGGTCTTCTGTACCAGTGCACCATATAGGCAGCTGTTGATAGGCAGCCTCTCCTCTGCCCCTGCTGAAAACTGTCACAGGGACCTGGCTGTAATGCATGAACGAACTTTGTGTGCGTGGAAACTTTGGTGAAATTTGGTAATGTCAGTGCGGACGTACGTGGAAAAGAAGGATGAGGACAAGAAGCCGAGCCAGTGACAGGTCGCACAAGAGGAAAAAGAAGAGAGGCGCGTGCGGAACGCGCAAAGAGCCGATCAAGACCTAGCCGAAGGATGTGCCATACCAGGGCTCTGTCCTTGGAGGTTTTTGTGGCGTGCTGACAGAGGGCCTGGTGCTCGCCTGGTGGTCCTGACGGTGGCTCCAGCTGGGACACGCCAGACCAGGGCGCTGTCTGAGAAGCTCCTCCTGCCTGTTCCCTGGGGATCGACGTCTGGGAGCAGCTGTACCTGTCCGGGATTACAGACACCGGGTGTGGCTCCTGCTACGTCGGCGCGCGCGACAGGGACGAGGGGTTTTGGATTGCCGTCGCCACCTTAGACGGCTGAAAGCCATTTACAAATGTGAGGCCTGATGGAGGCCTTGTCTCCTGCTGCTCGCTACTGGAAGGGGTCGTCACCGTGCGTGGACTGTCACCTCCTCAGGATGATGGTTCAACAAACTGTGAGCTATTGTGTAGCCACATAGGTTAGACAGTAACCACGCAGACCTTAGATAGCTTAAGTGTGTACTTCTGTACTTGCCGTTGTGAAAGTCGATCGGGTCCCTTGTTCATATAAATGTTGTTCAGAATTCACTCTGGCGTCATATCATATCATTCATTTTGTTGACCACGCACGGGCAAACGTGACGAACCACCCCTGTCTTTATACTGGCAATGTGACTGCTGTGTAGGTTGCAGTTGTAGTGAACTCTAAGTGCGACACACTGGCAGCGGCACAGTTTGCCATGGTGCACTTTGAGTGACTGTTGATGTTTTTGTTGCCATTGATGAGCAGCTGAAACTTGAGTGCAATTTCCGAGCTTCATTGTTGGTGTTATTGCCACTGCTGCGACTCAAGCTGCACTGTCCCATGGCTAGGCCTATGGTCATCTCACAAGCCAGGCATTGCTTTCACGCAACGCCCCTCTCAACGTGTCAATAGACTCCCATAACAAAGGAAAGCTTGACAAGAGAGAATTAAATTTTCAGAGACCCTCGTATAGCCAGAGGGACTACACAGTTCATGTAAAAAGCTTCGCAAACTTGTTAGCATATCTACTTCAGTGAGTGCATTCCATTGTCTGTTGCATTCCTTCGTAAATAGCCTACAGCCTCAAATATTTCATATCAGTGTGAAAGCATGTTTGTTTCCTTTGTGCTGCTGTATTGTGTAACGGCGTAAGTCATTGCCCTGTGCATTTACCCTCATGCAGTTTCCATAAAATGAGGTATTGGCTTATGCTTAAGGATCGGGGTATGTATTCTTTCCCTCATCCTTGTATACGGCACATCATACACATATCTAGTGCAGAGCTATGTGTGTTTGATAATTCCCATTACTTGATATGCATTAATATTATTTCTCATATTACACATCTTGAATTGGGCTACTACAATGTACGTATCAGTCTACCGTGTGACCTCGTTTATACATTCCTCCAGTTGTGCCGACACCTATTTATGACAAATTTGCTCGGCCACAGGAAAACACGTCAAAATATGTATTTTACTAAAGACCTAAAATCTGTACTAATTTACTGAAGAATATTATGTGAGGAAAGTTCACGCCAACCCTACCATGTACAACACCTTTGTTGTCAACTGAGGATCTAATAAAATACTGCATTTACTAGAATGTAACATAAAGGTGGCTGTCATGGGTTCAACGAACAATTTAACCTAATGTAATATTCCAGTTTTCAATATAAAACAGATGTTTGAGAGCGAGTATGTGAGACACAAGTATTCTGTGCCGTTCATGAAATGAGTTATTTATCTCTTTGTAGTTTTTTCTTCAGCGATATAAATTTGTAGCTTTGAAATCGCTTGCGGGTAGTTCTTGAAAACAGGGATATTCTAGGGCTGTCACCTCTACAACGCCTTTCTTTATAGGATAGCTAGAGATTGTCGGCAAGCTAGTATTGTCGACAAGCTAGTATTTGAGGTCCAGATATTTCCTGTTTTTTTTTTATCCACTAAAATATTCCTGATTGATATATAACTGCAGATCTCATACTAGTGCTACTCAGAAAAAGGCATACAGAATGCAAAAGCAACGCGATGCAGCTGTCTTCTTTCTGCATGCAAAATAACCTCCTCTTTATATAATTTTTTTTAATTGAATTGAATCTTTATTTTCATGTTTCATGCTAGATGAACAATAGCGGGAGTAAAAGCTGTACTGAAACAGCTTTACTAGCTCCCGCTACTTAAAATGAAAGGGTCAGAAGCATTGACATACAAATAAGATAACAAAAGCATAATATCTAGAAATATAACTTTAATCAATTACATAATCTAAATAAATGTAAGTAGAATACATTAGTTACTGTAACGAGAAAAACAAAACATTAGAAACTTAAAAGGCTATGTATATATACACGTGTTATAATATGCATAACAGGTGAAACATACAAAAGGGTAAACGACATCATGATACAATTTATAAGGATAAAGATGCAACATGTTTTCTGGTTATGAGAAACCGATGCAACTTACAGGTAGCAGCTATGCACGGATTCGGGATGAGCCCCAAGAGAACCTATGTGAACGCTGAAAAGTGGGCTCTGTCATTTTGGAGACGCGATACTACTGTTAGAATACCACTGCCTTCCTGTGCTGCCCTGCAGTGCACAAGTGTTACATGAAAAAGGTGCCCTTTATAGATTTGTTTTCTGGGTTGTGCTTCTCGTTTCTTAGATGATACAACCACCTCGGTAGTAGTATTGCTTTTTTGTGTTAATGTCGAGGGTTGACGATCTGGTTCTTCTCATTATATGGCCCCTGTGGGACCATTAGGCATATGAAGTATGTGGTATTAGGTATCATGCATACTATTAGGTACGTGAGAAAGTGTTTGCGCTAGCCATTACAGAAGCTCATTTGGAATTTTTAATGGAACATTATTTTTGCTTATATGAGGCACTTTGCAGCCGGTTGAAAAGTTGCTTCCCTCCCTTACTTCAGGCCTTTTGAGTGAAAATACTAAAATCCTGATGGTGGTTGTGAAGCTTGGTATATATCTTACTGTGCCTGAACACTTTTCTTTCCACACCCATGCCCTTTGATTCTGCTGTACTAGAAGTGCTTACCAAGGGCTAATGTTATCTATCATCTAAAACAATTTTTTAGGGGCGAAGCTCCTTATGGCGTGGCTTGGGCGTCCCTCGTATGTAACCACCAGTGGCCCATACCCGAAATAGGTATAACACTTGACCTCCAAGGTGGTGCCAGTGAGAGATTTCTTCTGTGTGTTGTTTAACAATAAAAAATAGTGCTCAATGTACATGCCAATGGCTGCTAATGGGGAATGAGAGACATGAGCATTCGGCTTTTAGTCAACGCGCACGCTGCGATCCCCATTAGCAGCCATTGGCATGTGTACATTGAGCACTATCGGACAAGAAAGGGATGCTACATTATACTCGCTGGGTGTAACCTCCTTAGCTTTAGAAAGGTTTAGCGAGCGTTGAGCCACAGTGCCATCAATACAATGAACTTGTATATACCATGAATGAACTCAAGGTGGTTAAAAATGAGAAGTAGATACGAAGCGCCAGCCATAAGAAAGTAAAAGCCGAATTCTCCTGTCTCTCATTTCTCATTAGCAGCCATTGGCATGTAAATTGAGCCCTATCTGACAGGGAAAGGTTGCTACGTTATACTCGCTGGGCGTAACCTCCTTGGTTTTCGAAAGGTTTTGCGAGCGTTTGGTCGCAGTGCCATAAATACAGTGAACTAGAATATACCATGAACTCGAGGTTGTTAAAGGTGGGAAGTGGACCCAAAGCGCAGGCCGTAAGAAAGTGTGCGTGTGCCACCTCTCGTTTAGTCCTTGGAATGTACGCTGGATGGCGGTGCTTCTATATGGGGAATATATGATAAAAAGATGCGAGATGGTGGGACTTGGAGTGTTGAATAGATGAACGAATGGACACACAAACAGATGCATGGATGGACGCATGAACGGACGCAGGGGCGGATGCAAGAAAGAACGCAGGGACGGGCGCACAAACAGACGCATGGACGGTCACACAGACGGACGCATGGACGGACGAATGCTTCGCCCCACTCTCCATCATTCACTCCGTGGATATGCTGCCATTTTTTTAGTTTCGCTTTTTCATTTACCATTCTCACTGCAGGTGTGTTCTGGATGTCTTTAAAGGTCAACTCCGACGATTTTTCGACCGTGCCAAGGTAATCGTGTTTCTAGGTTCCTGAGACACTCTCGTCATGAGCCCAGTAGCTGAAATGGTTAGAAAATTGGAAAATAATCTTTAATAAGCAAAAAGTTGCAAAACCGAAATCCGACCGGGTGTCCTGTCTGCGTTTTATTTCGTGAAATTCATAACAAACATGATCAAACAGAGCTACACAAAAATCTAGACTACATATACAAATGGTGCAACAAATGGGGTATGATTGTAAATACAGAAAAAACAGTTTCCATGTGTATAACTCGAAAAAAATATCCCCTTCACCATGCTTACTCCCTTGGTTCATCTACACTTAAACAGGTCAATAACTACAAATATCTAGGTGTTACGTTCACTACTAACCTGTCTTGGAATTCACACATTGAAAACATTTGTGCATCTGCTTTCAGAAAATTATGCTTCCTTAGACACAAGCTCCGCAATTCACCACCAAGTGTAAAACTTCTGTGTTATCAATCCTACATTCGACCAAAATTGGAGTACGCATGCGTAGTGTGGGATTCCTACACCAAATGTAACATAGACAAATTGGAAAGAATTCAGAGAAAAGCAGTTCGCTTTATATATTCTAAATTTCATCACATGGATTCTCCATCTGAACTAATGTCAGCTAACAACATTCCACTACTTCAGTCTAGAAGAAGGCAACTGCGCTTAGACTTCCCGAGTTCCTTGCTTAACCATAGAGTTGCGATTGACCCTTCATTGTATTTAACCCCTTTGTCAACCAGATATACACGACATCACCAACCAAACTCTTTTACACCATATTTTGCTAGAACAGATACATATAAGTTTTCCTTTTTTCCGCGAACAGTGTCTGAGTGTGACCACCCTGCATTGTATGTATGTTTGTCTCATAGTGTATATTTGTTGATGTAGCACTGTATATATTTCCTCTTCTTACTCGCTTTGTTATTTATTACGTTCGTGATCAATCTTAGTCCTCTGTTTTTGTGATTCTTGATTGCCCGTCCTGCTTGGACCACGTTTTGTAGTCTGCAGTATGAATAAATAAATAAATATGACATACTATTTGGTAAGAACCGGAGGCCGTATACTGGTTCCGCCGGCGCGTGGTACAAAAACTCTGAAAGCCCGACCAGTGAAGCACCGGC